ACAATTAAAAGTTGATTGAATAAATTGAATGGCTATGAAAATTCTTATCAACCTCAATTTCATATGCAAGTCCTGACAATTTTTCTTAGAAATAACTGCAGAATCTTTATCAGCTAACAGTTGAATATCATAAAATCTCAAGNATCATCTAAATTTTCTGTTCAGCCAATAATACAGCTAGTTATGTTGAAATTTCTATGCCATTGTTGAATATAATTAATTTCTAATCTATTTTAATTTTGAGAAAGATCGTTCTCCACTAGCAATGGACACAGGAAGGATTAAAAGAATTCTCAATAATATAAAAACATTTGGAAAATTTTCAATTAATTTATTTTTATAATTATAATTATTTGCCTTTTGTCCTATAGTTTAATTAATCTTCTTAATAGCTATTTTTAATTTGCTATAACTTTTAATATAATCAACTGAGGAAGGGTGATAATCAGCCCAAAACATACATATGTTTTTTAATAAAATCTCAGTGAGCTTTCCAATTGAAAACAGTGGTCTGATAAGTCCTTAAAATTTATAGCAAATTAAAAATAGCTATTAATAAGATTAATTAATTTTTGTCAATATAATTTAAAACTTTTAGTGACAACATTTTCTTTTTAAAAATATTTCTAACAATTAAAAGTTGATTGAATAAATTGAATGGCTATGAAAATTCTTATCAACCTCAATTTCATATGCAAGTCCTGACAATTTTTCTTAGAAATAACTGCAGAATCTTTATCAGCTAACAGTTGAATATCATAAAATCTCAAGTAATTTATTGTGATTTTCTAATTGGGAAAATTTTTCCTTCTTGGAATTTATACAAATATCCACTAAATAATTAAAAAGCTTATTTCAAAGTTTTGGAGGAGTGAAGAATTATTATATCTTCTCCATCGTAATCATATTGTTTCTCTTTAAGCTCAATTCTGATAATAAATATTAAAACATTTTGATAACACTTAATGTCTTCATCTATCTGTCATTTCAGTCATCAGCAACAATTCAAAAACTAATTTTCACTTAGAAACAACCTTTTATTTGAGACTAGGCCTCTGCAAAAAATTGCAAACGGTAAAANTATCCACTAAATAATTAAAAAGCTTATTTCAAAGTTTTGGAGGAGTGAAGAATTATTATATCTTCTCCATCGTAATCATATTGTTTCTCTTTAAGCTCAATTCTGATCCAGGGTTCAAGCTCAAAATCTGGCAATATTTCCATGATAATAGCTATTTCTTTGGCACAGCAGAGCATTTGTTCATCATTGAGTCTTATAAAAATATAGCATTTTTAGTTCATTTTTAGGGAATGCCACTAAAAATGAACTAAAAATTTTGATGAATTCACATAAGACTATATTTGAGCTCTCTAATAATTTTGATGCTATCTTAATTTTAGATAATACTTCATACCAAATAATAACTCTGCACATAAATTTAAATTTAGATATTCTAAATACTATCGATTTACTTTTGGTTTTAGTATCTCTATCTCTGTTCATCCAAATAAATTTTTAGTAGCATATGATATACTTCTAAATTATCTCTCTTTTGTTTTAATGCTTCAATACAACTTTCCCATCTTGTATCACTTACACCTTTTCAGTTAAGGATGTGTTATATTTTAAAGCACTTCACCTGTTAGTGGAACTAGAAAAAAATACAAACACTTCTTGCACTGGTGGAAAAAAATATTAATGATTTCTCCAGAAGCTGCCACTATGTCACTCGCAACAAGGTTCATAGAATGGCATAAGCAGGGAACAAAAAATACTTCAGGATTTTGATTTACAATTTGTTTTTGAACATTGGAATGGGCACCTTTCATATTGGCTTAATTATTTTAGCCCTGACCACACATATTTTCAATTTTTAGGCCTAATAATTCCAGTTCTTGCAATGTTAATTCACTCAAAACAGCTCCAGTAGTTAATTTCACAGACAAAATCTTGCTAAAATATTCTTTGGGTAAAAACCTATAATAATCAAAGACATTTGCTTGATTTTGTTGATATCTGTGCATTCTAAAGTTATACTATAATATTTACAATCATTAATGATAACAACAACAGTCTTTCAAACCACTTGACCCATTGGACAAATAAGATTCATTTTGTATATCTTTACTTAGATAATGTGAGAATTCTGCTGTGCCAAAGAAATAGCTATTATCATGGAAATATTGCCAGATTTTTAGCTTGAACCCTGGATCAGAATTGAGCTTAAAGAGAAACAATATGATTACGATGGAGAAGATATAATAATTCTTCACTCCTCCAAAACTTTGAAGTAAGCTTTTTAATTATTTAGTGGATATTTGTATAAATTCCAAGAATGAAAAATTTTCCCAGAAGACCTCTTAAACATTCACTTGTAACAGGTTCAAATTTTAATAATAACTCCAAGAATTAAAAAAAGTTATCATTGTTTGCTGCAAATATTTTATCCGAACTTTCTCTTGATGCTAACAGTTATGAACACATACATAACTGAATAACTGATATTATCCTCTTAAATATATCTCATCAATATTATCATTTAAGTTTTAAGATTCTAGCAAATAACAATTCTCTATAATCAACAGAATGCAACTGAGAACTAGAAAAAAATTGCATTTGTTTGTCTGACTTCCTGAAAAATGTCAATGCCAGTGCATCCTGGCATGGTACAAAGTAAAAACAATAGTGTGCCAATTTGACATATTGACATTGATAAATTATCAAAGAAGCCAACTAGTAAATTATTTACTTGTTGTATATTGTAATGAATAAAAATTTCAATATGTGATCCGAAAATGCTCCTCACTCCACACAACAGCCCTGTTGAATGGTATAAAGAAGTGTTAAAAATGTGCTCTCTTTGCACTTATTAGATGCATTTTCTGAATACAATTTTGAAGAATATGTCTGGATAGTTGAGTGTTATTAATAGATAAGTTTTGACCAACGATGATAATATATCTTCAGTGTCCTTAAATGATGTGAGATTTTCTTTGTGAGTTTTGTGACATGGGCAAGAAGAAGAGAAAAAAACAAGGTGAAAAAGTAAGAAAAGGGCCATCTGTGGTCTTAAGAAAAAAAATAGTCACTACAGATAACGAAATTATTGAGGATTAAGATAATGCCAAAATAGCTTATGATGGTATAAAACATACCATTAAAACCTATTTCAAAAGTTGTGCAAAATATTATTGTTTGAAATACTACTGAAAATATTATTTGAGTTTTTTTTCATATATAATATTCCACAAGATATTTTAAATAGTTTTGACAAAGTGGAAATGTATGTTACTGAATGTTATTTAACTAGAAAAAAATTGACAGATGAAAATAATGGACTCCTTTGTATAATGATGCACAGTACTTTAATACTTCCTATATTATACAGTAGTTCATATTACCTTTAGTTTTTCAAAATTAAATTGTGTTTTATTTCTTAGCAGAAATAATGAACATCAGTTATAAAGAACCATTTCAAATAATCCATATAAGTTTGTTTAAGCAGATATAATACTGTACTCTTAAAATATTTATATTAACTTAAAACAGATAAGTTTTAAGTTACAAAGTAAAAACAATAAATAAAATCAACATTTTATTTACTTATGAAATTATTTTTGGATTTTTATTTTAACTTTTGATTTCATAAACTAACAAGGAAAACTTTAAGAGAAAAAATTAAAATAAAATTTAGTCTATTAAACATCCTTATATAAAGCCTCAATAAATTTCTTGTTTTTGCTTTATTTATACAGAAATCCAATTAATTTTTTTAATAACAGAAGATATTTGTATGTGAATTCTAGAAATAAAAGTTACATGCAAAAAGAAAGGCCTTTATCTCATATCTATATCATATAAATTATGATTGGAAACACTCTTCAACAACAATGCAATGACATATGTTTAGTCAAAAAAATTTATATTCAAGGCATAGTTGTTTTTTTTTTTTTTTTTGAGAAATTAAGTTAATTTTTCATGCAAATTGTTAATGACATATAANGAAAGACTACTCCGGAAAAATTCCTGGGAATGTTTCGACCCAGTCGGGATTCGATACCGGGTCCCCCACAGCGGTATGCTGCCACCGTGACCGCTCCACCATTTGGCCAAACCATTCGGATCAGATGTAATTTATCGATTTACGAGAAAATAAGCAAATGTTCAGTGATCCGGCAATGTAGATAATTTGCCTTCGTTCTGGTTCTTTACCTGCCGGATTAAGAAACTTGTGCTGTATAACTTATATGAAAATATTAAATTTGCATTATAATTATTGTCATACAAAATAAACGAAAAATCTTTTTGTAATGTACAGTATAATAGAAACATACATTATTAAAATTTGGCATTTATGTATTTTCAACATGATGCCACGTTCATTGGCCGTTAGCTTAGTGGAAAGTGTTCATTGTCAGTTACAAATAACAGTTTCAAATAATTGTATTAAATACACACCAGATAATATTTAAAATTTAAAATAACAAATATAATTATAAACAACTTCAGAAATCATAAAATAGTTTCTATAGTATCTGAACTTTAACCTAAATAAATAGGTACAACTAAGGTATATTCATTCTGTATCTAGAATTCTATCTTTATTTTTGTTATAATTAATAACCACAAAGTATAGTAATGATTTGGATCAGTTAGTGAAACCAAATAAAAGCAAGTAATTGCTCTGGTTATATATGAATTATGTTTGCTGACTCATTTACTGATTTGAAAGAGTATCTCAAAATTCCACTCAGAAGGTCAAAGACTAGTAAATTTATTGCTAACACACCAGGAATTAAGTGTATATAATTATATAATTTCATTTATTAAGCATATTTTAGCAGGAATGGAAATTTATTAATCAGATCAGACGTAAACAGTTCAATTATATTGATAGAATGGTGAAATTGATGACAGATCCTGAACTGAATCAGAGGCAAAAATCACGTGAAATGATTGAAATATACAAATATTTAATACATACAAGAATTACACTTACTTGTTAATTTCACCCTGTCACATGAACCATCTTCTTAGTCAACAACAAACGCCACCTATCGGTTCCAAAGTAATGACGTCACGGCGACGAACGAAATTAAAATCGGGAAAAATAAGATAAAAAAAATAATAATAAAATAAATTTTCTTTATATAAATTTTTATATTTTTTATCTTTTTAAAATTTGCTAGTTGCTATCACCATAAGCATTTTTATTACGGATGAGTCATCGATTTTAACAGGATGATGTCAGATAACTATTGGCAGATAGAGTTAACAGAACTTCGTAATATTTTTCCTGTTTACGTTTTATTAATAAAAAGATGATAATTATGTATAATAATATAGGCTTTTTAATTAAAATTCTGCCAAATTTAATTAAATTTCGATATTAATTGTTTAACATCGGTTCTCTATAATGAATAGAACAATATCCCGCAAACAATTGATTTATTTTCTGATTTTCCCGACTATTTAAATATAAATAATACCAATGTCGGGCCCTATATTATTTTTAAAAAGTATTAGCAAAAGCGTAATGATCTACAAATAGCCGGTTTAGAAGTGTAACGTGGTTATTTAAAGCAACGATGAATTTTATCCAAAATTTTTGATATTTATTTGTAAACTTTAAAAATTTTAAAACAAATAAAATTTAAATCTGTAGTAATTTTCTATTATTATAATAACGAAAGTGAAACATTTTTATTTAATAAAAATAAAAATTTAAACTTCCTTGTGATGCAGTGAAGACAACTAAACAATTTTTTTCTGTACTGATTATGCAGGAAATTTTTAGTTTTTACGTTTTTTTAAAAGAAAATTTAAATAATTTACTATAACTATATTTAAAATAAACGTATATTTTTTTATCAAGAACGCTTAAAATTATAATTTTAATTTATATACATATAAAAATCGCGCATTTACTTGTTAAAATTTCATTTAATATTGTATTTTGAATCTAAATAATACTCGTATATAATTTTATTTTAAACAGAAACTATAATATTTATAAAGAAATATTTTTTTATGTTTAAATTCTTTTATTTTAATGTTTAAATTTATAAATGTGTCAAACTACTGTTTATTTACATCGCAAATTAGGTATAAGACAAGTATATACATAGTTCATTTTTACTGAATTTTATATCGTTTATGGCATATTTTAAATTAATTTAAACAAATATTAAATTAATTAAGCAATGTTACGAATAGAATTATCTTTAAACTCATTTCAAATGAATTATTTCAATGATAAAAAAAACATCAATTATGAAAATAAGCGTGTTTTTTTTTTGATATTTTAGTCTAATTTTTCACATTTACTTTTTTTTACGTTTTATTAATAAATATGTATTGATTCTCCTTTTTACTTTTTTTTTTAATTTATAAAAATGACGATGCCAAAAAAATTTTTGGTGCATTTTTAATGATTTAAAATAGCTCATATTTTGATTTTAAGCTGTGATATAAGCTGACAATCAAACGTACAATTCGTAATTCATTATTTTAGTATATCTACTTTGTGATGCTGAGATACATTTGGATCGCTGTGTCTCTTATAGGAGATGCGAGTCGGGACGTAAGCCAAGCTGCACTAGCTTGGAAACTGTGCAGTAGCGCACACGTGTTCGAAGATGGCAGAAACTAAAGAAGATTTAGGGGTTAGAACTAAACGCTACTTGAAAATAGCAGTGAAGTATGCCTTTTCTCACGTGGGTCTATGCTTTTTGGTGATTGGTTATGCCATTATAGGCGCACTAACTTTTCAAGCTTTCGAATCTCAGCATGAATTCAACGAACGTCGACACGAAAGGAATTTACGAGAAATGACAATTAAAAGAGAGTTGAGAGAAATAGAGAGAGATCGAGAAGAATGCATTAGAGAACTATGGCGTATCACTGTAAGGATGAATATATTATATGAAAATAATTGGACACATTTGGTTCGTACAAGAATGAAGAAATTCGAAGAACATATTTTGGATTTGAAAAAACCTACAGAAGACAAACCTATAGAGCCAGAACCTCAGTGGACTTTTCCTGGTGCACTTCTATATTCTATTACTGTCATTACCACAATAGGTAAGTTAATAATCAATCATAACAGATCATTAAAGCTGCACATCTAAAAAAAATAAGATGGAAAAAACTTGATCTAGGAAATTAATGTCGATCAAACATATCTAAAGTTATTATTATTCTTAAAATTTGTTTAATATAAGTTAAAATTATAAGGTTATTATGATAACGTAGTATTAAAAATTTATAATTTTTATTAATTTAATACAAAGTTAATTTTAAGAAAGAATAAGCATAATGTATGATTTAATTAACCTTGAATGGGCTATCAATAAGTTTTAAAAAGTGCATTCTACCGTTTGAAACTAGACTCGTGTGTTTTAAAATTTATTGTAACAGGTGTAAATCGTATTTTGACATTTAAATACACTTAGATACTGTAAATTAACAAAGTAAATAGATATATTTATTAGTATAAAAATCGCATAAATTGAAGGTCATCTATGATACGTTGATAACTAAAAGCGATTAAGTAACTAATACCAGTGACTAATGGTAGACAAAATCATATGCAAACTATATTATGTTATAATTGAAGGATTTTAAATTATCTAGTATATATAAAAGTAATATATATATTACTTTTTGAACTTATTGATTTAAAATTTTAGAAAGTTTAGCGTTAGTTGCGTGACATGAATAAATAATTTTACGTATTAGTTTCTTATGTCGTACATAATCTCACAAATAATAATACGTAAATATCAATGAATTAACAAGATCTATTAATAGTATTTTCTAAATTAAAATATATCGCGAATCATTTAAATGGTTTAAGAAATCTTTTATTTCTTGTATAATGTTAAATAATTAGTAAATTTGGTTTTTTATGATTTTTTTCCTCGATCTTTCCAAAATAATAAAATATCAGATGATTCCAATTTTTATTAAACTCATAATTACTGTATTCCATTTGTTTAAAGTATACATCGGAAGAATATGTCTATAAAAATTAAAGTTTATAGGAAGAAAATCACGTTGAAAATTACAATATTTTCCTTTGTACATTCTGTGTTTTGTTATCAAGAGATTGGTTTTATGCATAAGCTAAACAAGGGCCTCGCGTTATAATTGTATAGTTTAGAGCAGTGTTTCCCAACGTGGGGCCCACGTCCCACAGGGGGCAATTGGATTGTTAAGGGGGCAATTCGAAAATGGACTTGTCCAGTGTTTAAGTTAAAGGTTGGGAAACACTGGTTTAGAGTCTCACATTTTTACACGTATCAGTATTTGGAGGGAAAGGGTCTATTATATCGATATGTTAAAGCTTAGGACTATAACAAATTCAGCCCTGTCTATAATATACTGTATATATAAGTTTTTGATAAAAGCAATTACAGTATATAATCTTCTCATTGTAAATTACCTATTTTTTTATTATGTGAAAATATACAGTATATCTATCATTATTATGTGTTTTTTTATGAAGTTGAATAAAACAATTGCCATGATCTGTAAGCTAATACAATACTCATAATATAATATGATTACATTGATATAAGAATATAATTTTAAACTTTATAATTGTTTTACGTTTTATTTAAAATTGTATATATAAGTTTCAATAAAAAATAATAAAATTTATTTCCTGATTTTAAAATATAGAAACACTATATTATATTTTTTCCTATTTCAATTACAATTAAGTGATATAGGTATAAATAAACGTCAGTTCTTGAATAATTACACTCACTAGATTTATAAAATTAATGTAATTTATATATTTAAATATTTCATACGTAATGTATATATAGAACGTTCATTAAATATAATTGCTTTATCTAACTGAACACAGCAAATAACTTTAATTGAATTGTCCGTGACAAAATTTTAAACAATAATTAGAATCAAATATATTATTTACTCGAGGAGAGATATTTTTATATCCAGCGTTGATAGCGCGATATAAGTCTCGATAAAGCTTAAATTGACTAAAAATATATATTAATTCTGTAAAATATATGTGAATTAAAGGAAAATTCTTAACACAAATGAGATTTCTAAGTTTGGAACTATGTCTAGGTCAACATTGATACAATGCAGATGTATTTTAGAACAAACAATGCTTCAAGATGAATATCGAAATTAACTCAGGCTTATATTTTTTATTTAAATTATAACATAATTATTGTTTTAGTTCATATTATTGTTTTCTAATCTTATATTTTACGTTGATTCTATTTTCAAATTCTAAGCGAAATGGTTCGTTAATGTGTCATCTTTTAAAGTAAGGTCAAGTTTATTTTGTTTGAGAAAAGCTTCGAATGATTTAAGTTTAGCTTGTTAAATTTAAATGTAAACCTAAAGAAGAAGGGGAGAAAAAATAAAATTTAATTAAAATCTTTAACGTATCTCCACAGTAAATAAGCAAGTTAATTAAATAACCCAATTCTAATTTTAGGTTTATTTTTTAGAACAACGTTTAGTGTAAATGCTTATTTTAAGTAGGTTTCTACAGATTCAAAGTTCATTGGTCTTTATGTTTTTCGTGGTGATATTTAGTTCTAGATATTTTTAAACAAAAATAAACATTGAAAAAAAAAAATAAAAAAAAGAGTAAAATTTCGTCCCCGTTAATTTTTATTAAGTTAAAATAATATAAATCTATTTTAATTTGTCTTTAACTTTTTTGTTTATTATTGTTACATATTTATAGAAATTGGTGTTTGGAGAGAATAATGGTGACCTTGTGTCTACATTCGATGGTCTAATAGAATTTGAAAGATTAAAAATACTAATTAAGTTATAATTTGCTTAAATATTTAAATAAATTATTTACTTTTTAGTTAATAATTATTGAATAAGAACAATTTAATTAATTTTGTACTACTTAATTATATTGCATGCAATAGGTTTATAAATATATTATGCAGTTATTGAGTTGAATATTAAATATCAATAATTATATTTTAATTAATAATGATGAAAATTTTGTAAGTTTAACTGCAATTTTAATTTAGACCCTGTTTGTATTATCGAACATAAAATAGTTTGGATGATTGCCAGAACACGATACATTGTACTGTACAATCTTTTTACTTCTAGTCAACAGATAGGGCCAATAGTTTAAATGATTTGTTATTGATAAATACTTGCAACAATGAGAACGTAATGATAAAGGAGATAGCAATATTTTAAGAATTACATCATTTATTGATGCATATCTCGAGATTCTAATTTTGTTCAACTACTGTATTCGCAAATATTACAATCTAAATTTCTTTAAAAATTTTTCAGCCGCTTGAGGCATATTCTAGGACTCCCAGGTCTCGGAGATCCCATTGGAAAAAATAAAGTAATTTTACTCTGGCAGCTGTATATCATCATTTATAAATAGTTTTATAGCTAAAAATCAAGCATTATTAGTTTATGATGACGTAAAATTATATATAGTAGGTCCAATCTTCCATGTCTAAGGGTCCGAAAGGTCTTAATTTGCCACTGGTTCTAAATAGTCTTTTGTAGTTTTAAGTTCTAAGTTTTGTTTTGTTTTTAAAGAAGTTGCTTATTAAAATTGATAAATTGTTTTGTAAGTAAATCTTCCTATTTTTTTTAAGCTTTTTAATGATTATAGGCCCTACATTTGTATTAGATAAATAATAATCTAATGAAATGCAGTAAAACATACACACCGGATGGTTTTGAAAACTTTTTTTTATGTAGGCGTACTTTTGATTTATGGATGTCATTTGTAATATGATACTGTAAACTTATGCCGTAAGAGATAGGTCTATATGCATATAGTCTCAGTTCAAATCTAATTATATTCATTTCCGTTATAATAACGCAGAAATATTAGATAGAATTTTAAAATAATAAAAATAATTTTAAATCTAAAACGTCCACAGTTTCATAAACTAATCTACATTGAATTGAATTGGATCGGATTAATGAAAGAAGCCAGACAACACAAGGACGATCTCCCAAGACGGTGCCTCTCGGGAGGACTTTCTGTGAAAAACTGCTGGCCCTTACTTAATATTAGATACGTAGGAGAGCCAATATAATCAGAGAGGTGATAATGTTATGTTAAATCCTATTGGTCCTATTGGCTAACTGCCGACCTTGGCTACTGGACGCCATTAACAGTACATAGTTTGCACGTGGTTTACTTACCGTTTTTTTTGCATTTGTTTTACGCTATTTTTTATTGCATTTTCTATTAATTCAATTTAATGTTTCAATTTAAGGTAAGAAAATTTATTTATAGACAAATTATATTAAAGTTTTTGGGCAAAAACCTCTTATAAAAGTATGGAAAGTGAAATACAGAATCGTATGATCATCGGTTTATATTATGTATTATTTTACTTATTCTATACGATGTTGTGTAAATGCTATAATAAAAATGCTAACTTTGATCTGTATTTGTTTTTGTGTATCGTATCATCCTGAATTTAGAAGAATTAACCTTATTACTTTTTTACTTTCCCGGCTGTTATACATAACAGGGAAAGCATGGTGACCGGTCAAAAAAAAAGACCGGTATTTTTTTATTTTGGACTTCGGGACCTTGAAACGTCGAGCAATGCAAAAAAAAATTCGGGTTTTTTCCTGTATGTATGGATGTTATTGTGTGTGTGGGTGTGTAGCACGATTTTGTTCACCCTCTTTGAAGCTTAATTCGACAAAAAACACAGGAGTTATTTTGTCGAAAATTTCTGAAATTTTGCAGGGATGTCTGTTTATTAGAGAAATTGATGCTTAAATTTTGGTGGTTAAAGGGATGGAGAGATAAAGGGGTCATGTATATCTCGAGTAGGATCGGACTTTATGACGATTTTACTCGTTATTAGCATTTACAATTTTTTTTATTTATAAAACCCATCCCTACCCTCAAAATTACCCCAAAATTTTTGCCATTTTAAATTAGTTAAAAATATGTTTTTTAAAATAAAATATCATAAAAGATGACGCCACCAAATGTTGCCGGGAAAGTTAAGCAACTCGCTGCTGGATTATTTTTTTACATTACATTGCAATTTTACAATTTTTTTGTCATTAAATGAAATTGTAATAGTATAATACTCTACACACACACAAAATAACCGATGATTAGACAATTCTGTATTTCATTTACATATTTATCATAAATAGTTTAATATAATTTGACGTATTTCTTTACATGAAATTGAAACTTTAAATGTGAATTAAACGAACACTGTTAAATGATTTTTACTATGTCATACTGAATACATATAAGTTTTATTATTAAATACTTTTATTTAATTTATCTTATTTCATGTTTTCAAATCTTGTAACTCAGATTTAATTTAATTTAATTTAATTTTTTTAAAATATGAATTAATTTTATTAATTAATAATGTAATAATGTAAAATAATTTTAAAAAATGTACAAATTACACAACCTGATATTGATATACAGATATCCCCCGTAGTAATATCTTCGTTTCTAAATAAATACATATTATTGATCTTTTATATTTCTTGTGTATACAAAAATTGTTTATAAACAATTATCATATTTGTTTTATTATTATTATTATTTCCTTCAATTAAGGAGCCCAAAAATAAAATCTTTCACAGGGCAGATGAAAAACTAGTTGCGATACTGATGTTGGTTCCTATCCCTCACCACCCGGCCACCCCATTGTGGCTTGGTCGAACCCACGATAGGTACGGAAATAAAAACACTCTTAGTGCCGTACATATATAAAATGTAAAATAAGTTATTTATTTATGTAAAAGTTTTAGATTATATTATATACTGCATTTATTTTGTAGATGTAAACGGATACGTAACCAAAAATTCATACAAAACCAAATAGCTTGACTCCGTAAGTTTCATCAATTGTATTCAATTTATATATTTTTCCTTTGGTTTTATAATTGAAACGAAATTAATTGTATAAAATTTTGAAGGAAAGGAAAGGAACTTTAAACGTAGCGATTCGTTATTCATAGAGGAAGGATTAAGATCACTTTTAAGATTACAGAAAGAAATTAGGTGGGCAGAAAACAAGAAGAGAAGTATGATAAGATTATACTGTGTAGTGCGTAATTTGGAGGCATCGTATTAAGTGTGAAGTGGAACACAGGTTTGTCCCAAATTTGACATCTGGTCACAGTACATTGCCAAAATGTTTTGCCAACAAATGTAGTTGATAGTTTTTAAGGCAATAGAAATAAAATTTCTACGTTAACGAAAGAAGCTGTGTTCGGACATACGTCTAAGAATCTATCTTCGATTGTGACAAAGTTTTACGGTTTTATTTTTATTTAACTTTCCACTTTTTTGTTTTTTTTTCGGCAGAACAAAATATCAAATAGAATATTCATTTTATTATTTTTCATTTATATATTATTTGTGTTTAAATTTCATTTATTGTCCATCCATTTATACGTCTTTAATTTAAGTTAAATTATTTCAGAATTTTTAGATTTCATTTTTTTAAGAATACGGTTTAATAAAAAGTCCAGCAAAATCAAATAAAAACAATACTGTATTACAGTATATGGATTTTNAATGTTAATTTTTTCTCTATTTTGCGAGTCTCCTAATTGATGAAAATGTGTGGATTTATTAAAAAATATTATTTATTGCCCGGATGAATTAGGTGGTGATTTTATTTTCTCTTCTCAATCTTCTGATTTTTGAATTATTTTTTTCAATCGTCATTACTTCTTTCGATATTAATTTACAAACGAGCAATTATTTATTGCCGGGTTGCAACTTTTAATCATCTTTTAATTTTAAAAACATCACTCGATTTCCGGTCCGGCCGGAAGTTCATATATAGTTAGTTAATCGGGACTTCCAGCCCTAAGCCTTCATCTATCAAACTCTATTCCCGACGTTAAAGGACAGACAGCCAAACGGATGACAACGGGAATATATATATTGCAAAGCGCTATCAGTCATTTTGCAATGAATAGCTGTACTTGCGAAATCTTTCTCTTAAATTTTTCAAGTTTCTTTCCTACAGAATTTAGAGGTTTATATACAATACACTATTGCTATTAACACAATATGGAAGTTAGTAAGCTCGGAACAAGAAGGTTCGGGAACGTTCCTTCTGGTCAGGGATGTATTGCAATCCTAGGCAATGCTTGTTAGTAACAATTTTACACGAATTATGGAAAACTGCTCTATTGGAGATTCAATCTATTTTAATAATTTCACTTCGCTGTACGTATTTTCTCGATATTCTTTGTGTGTTACGTCTTATATTTTGAGATTATTCAAATTTGAATGTTAGTGCAAAAAACTCTAACTCTAACAGAACAGCAGAGCTTGGAATGATTTCTTTTAAGGAAAGGAAACATTTTTTTCCTTTATACAAATAACTTCTCTTAATAATATTGCTAAACATTGAGTGCGAACCGAAAATTTGTTTCTTGCCAAGAAAATCGAAATCTTTTGAGAAACGTTAGAAACGTGGCGAATTTCTATCGTTCTGTGTCACGTTTTCTCCGATTATTTCTTTCGAAATTCACAGATAAAGATAAAGATTTTTACAGGCATAGGCATGGACGATTCCTTCGTCTTGGTGGCTTCTTGGAGACGAACGAACAAAGAAGATAGCGTGAAAAAAAGGATGAGCGAAGCCTTTTCCGAAGCTGGAGTATCCATCTCCATAACTTCCTTCACCAACTTGGTCTGTTTCTGCGTAGGACTCGTTTCGCCTTACAAAACTGTTCGCATCTTCTGCACGTACAGTGCTGTGTCTGTGTTGTTCGATCTCATCTACCAAATCTTCTTCTTCGGAGCTCTGATGGCACTCGACGGTTACAGAGAGCAACATCGCCTACATTCGTTTCTTTGTTATCCCGTCAAACGAAAAGATATCGGTAAGTGAATATTTGATAGGAATTCTCGCGTGATAATATTATGATTGGCAATAATATAAACACGTCTAGTCTAATCTATTCTTAAAGGGAGATTAACGGCCAACTAACAGAGCATCCAACATTTCCCCCTTCCTAACTTACAAACCCGGCACATCCACGATATTTTTAGAATTTTACAGTTGTACTTTAAGTTGTAACTATAATTAATCCGGAATTGGTAGAAATTCGAACGTTTTCTTGCATAGATTTTTGGGTTGGTGCGCAATCAGTCGTAAGACATCTTTAGAATCAGTCGTTAGATATCTTTCAAACAGTAATTAATTGGTGTTTTTCTTTTCTGTTTTTAAGGATTTTACCATTTTAAGACCAATTTTTCCAATTGAAATTAATTGAATCATTTATATCTGAATTATATTTTGAATGTCAATCTCGTTTTGTTTACTTTATCGACGAGATGAATAAACCTGCTTTATTAATTAATTTTTTATGATATTTGTATTTTTGTATTTAGCTCACCTTTCCAAGTGCTTTTTAATTATTAATAATTTTAAGATTTTGTTTTTAACGAAAACTTTATAAAAACTTATTATTTAAGTTACTTAAGTATTTGTAAATATTTTTCTACATTTTTCAATACTAGTCTTAAAAGCTTTACACAGTTCTAACCTATAAGCTTTGTAAAAGGAACCTTCTACCGAACGGAAAAAATCTCGGCATAGAACGATTTTCTGTGTAAAATTCTATTATAAGCGGAGACTAAAGATCATTTGACAACCGATAGAATTAAATGTAAAGTGAAATCTTCAACGTAACGGCAGTTGAAGTTTAAATTTTAACGGGATGCGAGTGTTTTTTAAATTAAAAATTTAAAAAAATCACGTCGCTTTCGGTCTGGACGGTTGACGGAAAGTTCGTGTATAGTTCACTGGTATCTCCTAAACTTTCCATATTTGGTATGGATTTTGTGATGTCTTGCCTCTGTACTGCACATCGTACCTCTCCCGATAACAATCGAGCCGTGCCGGTCCTCTGTCTGGAGAAAATTTTGGAACTGAATTCACGTGACTTCAGACCAAATCGGAAGTTGGTGTATCGGGCCCTCCTGTCTCTAAACTTTTCATTTCTGGTCTGGACTTTTATGTATCTAACTCCGTTCTTGAGATTAATATACTGTATACATATATGTATTTAGCTCACCTTTCCAAGGTCTACACGACTTCGGCGATAAAAAGTTACTTGGGTGTACTGTAACTCTTCAATTTGCATATTTCGCGTGTTTTGTATATTAAATAATTACTTACAATATTTTACTTTCAGAAAATGAAACGTCCGAAATCGAAAAAGGCAAGACGGAATCTGACAAAAGTGACGTGGCCATGAAATACGTCTCCGAAAAACTGGGAAATCTTCTCTGTATGAAAATAGTAAAATTGGTGGTAATAATCATGTTTTGTAGTATTGTTGCCGGAAGCGTGTACAATATGAGAAATATGAAACAAGGGCTCGAATTCGTGGATGCATTTCCCTATTCCTCTTACGTTACGAAATTTATTAAGGGGCACTATCGATATTTCACAGACTATCCGCACCCGATACAAATAGTTTTCAATCGCAGTTTGGACTATTCTAATTCTAATGTACAGGAAGACGTAGAGAAAATTTTACAAACGTTCGAGAATGCTCCTTACGTCGGATCCGAGCTCTCTATATGTTGGATACGAGAATATCTTTCTTTCATTCGCAATGACGAACTAAACTATTTGATGAAAGATTTTAACACCAGCGATTCTCGAGGATTCGTAGAAGGACTGAAACGGGTATTCTTGAGAATAAAACCTTTCTCTCCTTTCCGAAAAGACCTAGTGTGGAATAAAGAACGAAACCAAATTCTAGCCTCTAGGTGTTTTGTGATTTCAAAAGACGTCAGAAGTGGAAGCGATGAAAAATTTATGTTGGAAGATGTGCGTCGTATCGCGGACGGTAGCAAACACCGGGTATTTGTCTATAATTTCTGGTTCATCATATACGATCAATATTTAAACGTGCTGGCCATGTGTGTGCAAAACGTGGGTGTCGCCTTAGGTATGGTGAGTTTAATACTCCTGATTCTAATACAAGACGTTCGAATTACCGTCTGCGTGACCCTGAACGTACTTTGTATTTTGATACAAACTGTGGGCTACATGAACTGCTGGAAGGTGAAATTAGATCTGGTCTCGGTCATGACATTAGTAATGAGTGCGGGGTTCAGCGTAGACTTTTCGGCTCACGTGGCTTACGCGTACAAGTGTTGCCAGGAGGAGTCTTCCGAAAAAAAGATCAAAGCTTCTCTGTATGCTGCGGGTTATCCGGTAATACAAGGATGTCTGTCTACCATTTTGGGTATAGTACCCTTGGCATTTGGACCGTCGTATTTATTTCTTTTATTTTTAATTTTTGATCAAGGGAAGACATAAGTTGTCTCTTCCGGAATGATTCTCTGATTTGAAGTCTAGATTTAAAATATAGACTATTGATAAAGGAAGAAGATGATGATAAATATTGAAAACTTTTTATTGGAGAAAATGTGATTAAATAAAGAAAACTTAAGAATTAAAATTTTTATTAATAGGGTTACTTCCAAGATCGTCAAGAAGAAGAAAAACTAGGGATTTTTCCTCGGGTCCAGAGAAAACTTAGGAGGCATAGTGGTTCCTACCTCTATAAATTAACCATATTTTTACTAATAAGAATAAAATCTTTAGGACTACTATTTAATAATAAAGAAACGTTGTACGTATTTTATTTGTTAAAAAAAAAAAGCAAAAGGGACAAACGGGACACTTGCCATCCTTTGGAATAGAGTAAAAACTTACAAATTATAATTGTAAAAGTGATTGAGATATGTAACCTTACACTCTCTACCATGACTGTATTTTCTAATCTACTTGTGAAAAAACCCAAAAAATTAAATAATTATATAAAAATTTATTTATGTAATTATTTATCTTCAAGTTCCACCTCCCTGGAAAATTTTCTGTGGACGCTCCTGTCTATTATATCCTGTTCTTAACAAGTAAATTTCTGTATTCAAAAAGATAATAAATACAGAGTACATTCGTAAAAAGTTAAAAATAAAATTANTTATTTCAGAATTTTTAGATTTCATTTTTTTAAGAATACGGTTTAATAAAAAGTCCAGCAAAATCAAATAAAAACAATACTGTATTACAGTATATGGATTTTCCCATCATTCTATTTTAAAATGATAGTTTCAGTCACTACCGAATCGAGAGGGAGGTTGATGGAGCAATTGAACTCCTAAGAAGTTGTCAGCCTATTACTCTAGAAGACATGGGATTGAATACGAGTGAATCCCAGGACTTTCTTTATATGTGATCTATCCCAAATATATCGGGTCTTGTCTCTCATTACCCTGTGTCTCCCATTGTGTACCTGGTTGAACCCACGGCAGTTATGGAAAAAATGCCGTTTATTTTATTTTATTTATTTTAAATAATTAGTAAAAGAATTAAAGTTTTATATTAAATCTATATTGCTTATTACACGGATTAAAATCGCCCTTCTTGAGCTTTGCTTCTGGATGTGCCACTGCTTTCAATTCTTTCCTGTTAGTAAAATCGAATTAATGAATTAAATAAACTGTAAACTATAGCCTAGATGCATTTGTTCATGTTTTGTATCGGATTTTATAAACTATTCCTAACAATAAAACAATAACCTTGGGTTCATGTTTTGTATCGGATTTTATAAACTATTCCTAACAATAAAACAATAACCTTGGTATTACATAAGATCTAAGATAGCCTAAGATCCAAGGTAGCCTAATGTATTTCAAGTACTGAACGAAGACATATTTTTAATTGTCTAAAGCCTATAAAAACGCTGGGCTCTAGACATCTAGTCTAGATTGTCTACGCCTAAAATCGTCACTAATTTACATAAATGACGGCATAAAAATAAGAATTGAATCGCATTTTTATTTATTTGTATAGAGGAGGGTTGATTGAAAAGTAGTGATCCTATCTGTGAAGGAGTTATCCCAGGCAAATGACATTTAACACTTTTCTACATAGTTCTCCTGGATTATGATGCACTTCTCTCATCAGTGCTCTAGCTTTTCAAACTCTTGGTGAAAAAAGATCTGTCTTAGTCCACACATCATTCACGGACAGCATCCATGATGGCATCATCACTGTTGAAACATTGTCCTTTCAGATGTCGTTTGAATGTTGGGAACAAGAAGGATAATGAATAACTGCTCGAAGACTCACACGATCCTCAGTCACGGATGTCTCCCCCTTTACTGACAGTGCGCCCTTTCTCTGCCACATGGCACTGTTGGGCGGAAAAGCCAGAGGCTGAAATTTTATGCTGAGCGTTGTGCTTCAAAATGCCACAAACTTTATTTCGTTTCGACAACTCCTTCACAGGTAGGATCGCTACTTTTCAAACAATCTCCGCATATAATAATGTAGTAATGTAGACCTATATATAAGTTATTTTCACTAATATTGATTACTACACCACGGTATACAATTACACGATACACAATTACGGTATTATTGTTTTATTGTTAGGAATAGTTTATAAATTGTCTCATAAATTGAAGATGTAGGTCTTATATTTGATTCTAAGCTTACTTTCAACCTACATATTGATAAAATAATAAAACAACTTTCTATTTGCACGGGAATGATCTGGTGAAATTTTAAAACAATTTCCTTCAAAACTGTGTGTGTATTACTCTTTATCTTTACTAGCATCCAGTCTATTGTAAATTTGTAGGTTATGCACCTCGCTTGTTTGGTATTTCCAGCAGCTCCTTTTCTTTTGAGTTCATAAAGAATTATCAGAGATTGAACAGATTGTCTGTCTAATCGGTTCAGACTCGACTCGTTATTATTTTAATTTGTTTAATTTTCTGAGAATTATTTTACATCGTTAAAAGAGAGAGTCATCTTTTATCCAAGGAACATTGCCATTGTATAGAAAAAAGAATATGTATTTCCTTATAATCATTTTTATGACAGAGTCATAATTCAAAATAACACTTTTTGAAATTGCTTAACAATTATTTATTTTGTTTTCTGTTATTTTAAAAACGTTGAATATTATTTAAAGAAATGAAAATGTTACAGTAATTTTCAAATGTTAATATTTATAAAGACTTGGAAAATTTTTATAAACAATGGATATAATTAGCCATTAAAGAAAAATATAACATTTTAAAGTGTTAATAAAAAAAAAATAGTTTGAAAACATTTAGAATTGATCTGTTCTAGAAACTCGAATTATAGAACTAAATTATGTTATTAACAGTCAATAATAAAATAATTTAATTATGATTGTATGGTTATAAATAAGAATAAAAAAGTAACATACCATTTTTCAAGCATAAGTTTATTAATTCTAGAAGATATACAGATACAGAAGATATCTATATAATATAAAAACACGCGTATTCGAATGCAACGTTGTGTCAAAATTTCAAAGCAATCGGTTAGGAACTTTCGGAGATTTAAGATTTCGAACAAAACGAACATTTACATTTTTATTTATATAGATAATCTGATTACAACTTATTTATTTAAAGGGTAAATTTTGTAAAGAAACTGGCTAATTTATATTCATAAAACTTGGCTTTCCCGGTTCTGTTGTGAATGATAGAGAGGAAAGTATGGCGATCGGTCAAAAAATGACACCACCAGATTTTTATATTTTTGGACAAAGGAGACCTTGAAACGTCGAGAAATTAAAATATTCGGGTTTTTTTTCTGTATGTATGGATGTTATTGTGTGTGGGGGGGGCACGATTTTGTTCCCTCTCTTTGAAGCTTTATAACTCATGTGCTTTTTGTCGAAAATTTCTAAAATTTTGCAGGTAGTTGTGTGTATTAGGGAGATTGATACTATTAGATTTTTGTTGTTAAAGATCGACGGGACAGGGAGATAAAGAGAGTTCGTATGTCGTATCTCGTGTAAGATCGGATTTGATGACGAGTCTACTTCTTATTAGCATTTACAATTTTTTATAAAACCCATCCCTACCCCAAAATTAAGCTTTCTGCCATTATATAATAATTAAAAATGTAAAAAGTTTTTAATGATAAAATATCATAACACACAATTTTTAATGTTGCTGGAAAGCTAAGCAACTCGTTGTTGGATTTTTTTTTAAAGATGAAGCAGGCACTATCTCAGATACTGTTATGTATATAACCTGCATATAAATAATAAAGTAGAAATAAGTATAGTCAACTGATAAATAAAACTATATGAATATTTTTGTAATTTAATTGAATAGATTGTAAGCGAAAACCCTATAGCCTGTTAGGCTATAGGATTATAGGATTTATAATTTAATTGAAAACTAATTATTAATTTTAGTATAAGATGACAGCCAAAACCACCTAGGCAAAATTATTTTATTTGATTATTTAATAATTTACACTTATACTGTACTTTATTATTGTGTAAAAAATATTTTAAACAGATTCATTTCTATTAACAGAATCTGATATATAGTAAGTATAAAGACGTATAGTATACGAGTATAAAGTATTTAATGAAAAAGTTATTGAAGTCTCTTTTACTATTCTTTAGATTATTTTTATCTGGCTGAAGTTGATAAAAATCCTTTTTAAATTAAAACTGCAGCCAATTAATACCGTTATCGATTTTTCGCCCATGTTGTACGAGTCACTTAGATTTTACAAATACTTGAGCCGTTCACAGCCCGGCACACGTATTTGTAAAATCTAATTGACTCGTACAACATGGAATTCGTATAAAACGAAATAATCAACAGTGTTATAGGGGGGGTTGACTGTGTGTTTAGAGTATCTTTAGGCTATGTGTATATACCACGTAGTTGAATATTCGGTATCAAATTGCCGAAATTACAACATGAATGACTTATCTAAATTTTGTTTTTCTCTACTAAGAACCAGAACGTCATGAATTTAATAACAGATTGGATATCGACTTGAAAGTAGACGTACTTTCAACCTATTTTTAATATTTCGCAACTTAATTTATCGCAGATGTTAAGAGTATACATTAGAAATACAATAGAGTTTGGAAAGTTAAGTTCTTTAAACGTGTAATTGTATATATATGTATATAAATTTATTTTATTAACACGACATATATTAGGTCTATAACATCGTGTTATTTCAAAATGATTTAAAGTAAGACCACGTAAATCTCAGTCGCATTGAATCTGGATTAAAATATTAAGCCTTTCAAGTTTTCTTGGCAATGATATACAAAATCAGAGCTAATAAAAATTGGCTGCAAGTCATGAACTTGAAGTTGTAACATTAATCCCACTGCTTTAGCATTCAAATTAGAGGAAACTATGCCGAGTTAAATAGAAAAAGATTACAATATTTATAATTGTTTTGTATTTTGTAAACTACCAAAAATTTTTTCATTCTTTATATTCTTAAAATCATTTTTGTGAAAGCATTTCAGATGTTATACAGTATGAGTTAAAAGTTTCTTGCATCCTTTTCTTTCAAAAGTAGGCTACTGAAGATTGTTAAAGTCATGTATGGAGAATCAAATGAGACCACTTTTGTTTGCCCTGAAAATGATTACCAAGGTAAATCAAGAAGGTCCAACCTTATACATGACTTCCTATGTAACTATATTAATTAAAAAAATTAACATATCTTCAGTAATTTTTGAATGAAAAGGGTGCAATATACTTTTGACTCACCTGGTGTAATGTCTTTATCATAACTGAATTATTTTCATTTAAGTTATATAAATTTTACATCTGATAAAATTAAAATAGAAATCTTAATAAACTGAAATAATTCATATATAGATATGTATAATATTTTTATAAATCATGTTTGTATTGTATTCTGTTATTTATGAATACCCTAGGAGAGTTACAACTTTTATTTTAAAAACTGACACTATTTTTTATGTTAACTTTGTATATCTCATCAATAACTAACAAACTTAAAATGAAAGTTTTAAACACTTTTATCTATTCAGAAAAGAAATGCAGCACATATTTTAGATAATACTTAAATGAAAGATAAGGACAGTTTCATGTAACATTAATTTTATCTTTATGTAAAAATCATTCATTCATTTTTCTTTCTTTTTTTAGGTTACGGAAATATTGCACCAAAAACAAGAATTGGAAAAATAACAACTATATTCTACGCCTTATTGGGCATACCACTTATGCTTTTATTCCTAAGTAACATTGGAAATTTATTGGCTAGGACTTTTACAGTTTTGTATCATATTTCGTGTAAATTATGTACGAGAAAACGAGGAAAAAGTGATGAAAATGCAAAGGACGTGTGTTTGGAAGAAATAAATAATCATACTGAAGCAGAACAAATAGAATGTATATCTTCGGTGGATATATCACCCAGTGAAAACCTTCCTAAAACAGAAATTAATATAAAAACACATTCAGAACAAGTAGAAGGAAGAAAAGGTGTTCCAATTTTTGTCGTTCTTTTGTTTGTTACTTTTTATATATGTCTGGGTGCTCTGATTTTCGATTTATGGGAAGATTGGGATTATTTAGACAGTGCTTATTTCTGCTTCATTACTTTGAGCACGATAGGATTCGGCGATTTAGTTCCCGGAAGTTCTATTTTGAATCCACAAGCCAAAGGGAGCCAAGCTAAACTCATAATTTGCTGCATCTATCTGATAATAGGATTAGCGTTCATTGCCATGTCATTCAATTTGGTTCAAGAAGAAGTTACATACAAATGCAAAAATATCGCCAAGAAATTAGGATTAATAAGCAGCGAAAATGAAACAAAGTAGTCTTTAAATCCCTTCGTACTTCTCTCCAATATATTAAATTAACTATACTTAGTGTGTGTAGAATTAGTTTCGAAAGTCTGTAGTATATTTTAAACAGAACATTTTATGCGCCAAGTAAATATAATTTATAAATTGATGTATAATATTATATTTAATATATTCGTAGAATATGTGTTTTTATATTTTGTATATATATATATATATTTAATTTTGATTTAAAAAATTTATTTATAAAAAAATTAATCAATAACTCAGAAAAATATTCAAAACAAAATCTTTTTATTCAAACAGTTTATAGATCAAATTCCAAATTTATAACAGACCTATATTGAACACAAACTTCAGTTTGATTTTTTGCTCATATAAATAAGGAACTATAAATCTGGAATGTATCTAAGGTTAGATTACATCTTAAACTCACAACATGCAGGCATTTAATGATTTACAAAGTTTGATCACCATTCATCGTTAAAGGACATTCCTGTAGATAAAAAAAGTAATTAAATCTCTATCAACCCATTAAAATCATCATAAAATATTCTGAGAGGATTATCTTACGTAAAGTTTCCACCAAGATGAAGTGTGTGTAAAAACTTCCGATTTTCGAAATTCTTCTTCCTAAAATATATTTTAACCATTATCATTGTTGTAATCATTAAATTAAACTACCATTATTTTAATTTTTTTAACCTTTGATTTAATTCTATTCCATGATCTTCCTAAGAGCAACATAATCATTTCTGGATTATTATCGGCAGTCGCCCAAGATTGCGGACCTATAAACATATTAAATATATTTAATTTAATTTAACAGTAAGTATAGCTTTTAGATTAAGTATTTACCTAATTTAGCTCCGCTTTTTAAGAGTATATTTACAATCGCTATGTTAGAAATTTCGATTGCTCTGTCTATTGCTGTAAAACCATTTTTATCTACATGATTTATGCAAGCTCCGTTATTCAGAAGCATTTGTACCTAAATAGATTAATATGAATTATTACAATCTTAGTAAAATATAATTCAAAAATTAATTTTAGATACGATTACTAACGACTTCTACATTAGATTCTGTAACTGATAAAATTAGAGGAGTTCTTCCAAAAGAATCTGTGCCATTAATATCGGCTCCCCTTTCCAGTAACCAAGTAATAGCTTGGATCTGACCATTCATAGAAGCCCAGGATAATGCGGAAAAACCATTTTCGTCTTTTGTTGTAATCAGAGCTCCTCCTATAAATAAATTCAGAATGATTATATAAAGTTTAATCTACAGATAACAAAGAATTATCTCATTCAGTTGTTTACCTTTTGAAACCAATACATCCATAATATCAATTTTCCCCTTACTAGCTGCAATCATCAATGGAGTGCGACTCTTTTCATCTACTTGTTTATCTAATTCATTAGGACGGATGTAGTTCAATAGATATTGAACTATATCCAAATGTCCCTCTGAAACGGCACAAGCCATGACGGAAACTCCATTCTTATTTTTAACGTTTATCGGAGTACCATGTTTAATTAATAATTCCACAATATCACGGTGACCAACCGTACAAGCCGCAGTTAATGGTGTGTGACCACTTTCCGGATCCATGTAGTTGAGTAGTGTTTTTGATTCCAGAAAAAACTTACAAATCTATAACATAAGAAACAATTAGGAACGGTAGAACTAATGAACTTAAATAGAGTAGATTTTTAAATATTCATACATCATAATGGCCACCTAAAATAGATGCAATTAGCGCTTTCTCTGTATTTTGACTAAAAGATTTAATGATATCCGGTAACTTGTAACTTAACAAATGGCGTACAATTTCTAGATGTCCTTTAGATGCCGCTAAAACTAAAGCTGTGGCACCATTCTTATCAACGTGATTTATCTGAAAATAAGATAAGTTTCGATAAAACATATACGGTTTTTTTTTTTTTAATTTATTTAAGTAAATAAGAAATTTCGTTTACTTGGCAACCATTTTCTATCAGTATACGAATGATTGAAATGTATCCTTTTTCAGCAGCTAAATGCAAAGCAGTCTGTCCCAATTTGGATTTAATATTACAGTCGGCACCGTGTTTGATTAATAATTCTACTAAATCCATACAACCGTAATATGAAAAACAAGAGAGTGCACTAGATCCATTCAAATAATCGGTAATGAAATCTGGATCTGCTTTTGCTTTCATAAGTAACTTATTAATCTAAAATTAAATAAATAAATAAAAATTAATGGAGCACTTCAATTTAATTTATTACATTTTAACTTATTAATTTAATTAATATCTTACTTGGAAATCAGGATTAGATAAATTGCGAGGATTGCTAAAAGCAGTGTTTACATCCGAGCTGCTTAAAAGAAGAGCAAGAGCATTTAAGGATTCGTTCTCAAACATTTCAGCATTTAAGATATGGTAGGATAGTTCAAGAATCTTTTCACTTTCTACAGGATGTTCCAAGCGCATCAATCGTAAAGCAATCATTGCATGACCATTCCTGTAAAATAAAAACTTGAATTGATTGTTTATAATATAATTCGCATGGCAAGAACAGTGCATTTTAAAAGGAAGACAAACCGATGCGGTTGAAATGAGTTTATATTCAACCATAAATACTTTTGAAATTCAAGTTTTTTTTTCTTTCATTTTTAATTCTTTCTGTCCGCTAAGAGGGATAATTGAAAATGTAATAAAATGTGTCTTTCTTATAATAAGAATGTGTCAGTCCTACTAACTCGCATTTATTCTCGAAATTATTTTATTTTATTGTGAATCAGTTGATTTCCGTCCGTGATATCCTACGCTTTGATTCCAATCAAGATGGGGGTTAATGCAAAATGTGATTTCTTATATTTCAGATAAATTTTTTAATATATAGAATAAATCTAAAATCTAATGCTGGAAAATTATAACACAAAGAAACTTTAAAAATTTACCTAATTAGTCGCAGGTGTGAATACAAACAAATGAAATAGTGGCTAATATATAGCCTAGATCTTACCTGATATTTATATAAAATTTTTCTTTTTGATTCTTTAACCAGTCAATTAATGTTGGGTGAATGATCATGACAGTTCCATCATTCCTTTTACAGAGAATGTTAGAGGATATCAGAGCATCAAATACATCTAAAAAGTTTCTCCAACTAACAAAATGACGAATTAATCCAGAATTAAGAGTATAATAAATTTCTAGCATAGTCAAGGGATATATAGCTGCTATACAGATTTCCATAATAGGTTTTATCTGAAACGATTAGTAATAAAAATTTATATAAAATTATATACATCTTTATATAATTAAATCAATTTAATATTCACATATTTACATTTTCAAACGAGGTGAGAGTATTAAATTTTATATTCATCATTAATAAGTACATCTGGTCTAGATCAGTTGGAATAATACGGAAACTATCACTCTTGATTACCAAGTGTCTTTTTTCCATCATATTAAGAATGTTATCTACGTAAAGGAAGCAACCTTGGCTAGTTGTACTCAAAAATTTGGCAAATCTGTAAAAAAAATAATAGCAGAATTATAATTTATTAATGGAATCGAAGATTTTTCCTATGGTTTATTTCTCATTACAGAACAAATTAATTAGCAATCGCATCTGTAAAGTCTTCATATGCATCTGTATCTCTATAAAGGGATTGAATTCTTATTCTATGAAATATCTTCGCATAAAAGACCAGCATGAAACACGAACGGAAGGATTCTTTATTTCATAATGAAGCAGTCGGCAAAGGTATGTTTTACATTACAGGTTATTCAAATGTAATTGTGCGAGGTATTGAATAAAATATGTGTTCAGTACCCACCAAATGTGGTCCCAATACAAGGTGATTTACAGCAGAATAATTTCTTTATATAAGATCAATCAGCAAAGCTAAACATTACATAAACATGGTTTCGAACCAGGAGGGATATGATGTATTATATTTAAATAAAAATTAGTTTTCGTTGATCAATAGAGCTAAATCTCTAGTAATCTTAAGCAATATTTTCCGAAATTAGGGCTATCATTTTACTAATTTGACTGCAAAAAAAATTAAATATATTTTTAATTTAAAATATATAGGCTATTATTTAGATATATATTTCTATTATTTTCGAATAGCCGTAAAATACGGCATTTTATCACCCCAATTTAATATTTTCTGAACGGAAAAAGATTTTAAAATTTATATCGAGATTATAGTTGAGTCCAGAGCCGTAACTAGCCATTCCTGTGCCCTGTTCAAGAATTTGAATTTAGGCCCCTTAATTTATTTGGTTTGGGAAAATAATAAAACAAATATATTACAATAGACTTTTAATAAGATTTATTTTAATTGAACTTTTCTGGCTTTCATTTCAGCAAATTCATTAATTACATGATCATAATTAGTATTTTTAATGATAATGTATTCTATTGAAATAATAGAAATATTGGACAATCGTTCTTGCCCGATATTTAATCTTAATAAATTTTTTATTAATTTTAACTTGCTAAAACTTCTCTCGCACGAAGCAATAGAAACGGGAAGAGTTAGAAATATTCGAAGAACGACATTGATATTTGGGTAAGACTCAACTAAACCAAAATCACGAAGAGCCTGTAGAATATTAAGCGAAAACGCAGTTTCTATATTTTGTATAAGAGTCGTTACTTCAAACTTAAAACTTTCAATTTCACTTGTGAATTCGTACTTTTTTAAATCTTTGCTATATTTAACAGCGAGATCTGCAGCTGATTTTTTTTAAATCAGCAACACTCATGTATTATAAAGAAGAGCCATAGAGAAAGCAAAAATTAGCCTTTTTCCAGTATCATATTAAAGACCTCGGGGGCCCCTTCGAGGCCGCATAGTTCGCTTACCGCCGTTGAGGTATACAACACATATGGGTACTAATATAAAGCAAAAAGTTATGTCAGAATTTCTGCACGCCTTTTACAACCTCGAGACTAAGATTTTATTCGGGAGTTACCGTTTTCAATTTAGTAATTTTAAAAAAATCCTCGGGCAGATTTATTTTTGTTACAAAATGTTACCTTTACAGATTTCTAGCTCTGCACACTGTAGAAAAATCTAGAAATACAGTTTTGTATATCGTAATAATATTAGTCGTCGCCAGAGAGCTCTATAAAGTAGAGAAAAATCTATAAATTTGAAAACTATAAACATAAATTTAAATTTCTCAAAAAATAAATAAACAAAATTTCAAAAGTCGCTACTTTTGGCTGATTTGTCTGCGGTCTCCGCTATCTCACTACGTCCCTCTAAAAGTCGCCACGGTTGGGAACACTGGTGAGCAGACATCTAGGGTCTAAATAAGGCAAAATGTAATCGCCAATAAAAAAGGAGGAAAAATTCAAGATTTAAAACTATAATTTCTTGTGAACAGCAGTTTGGGCCCCCTTCCAAGTGGGCCCTGTGCGAATGCACCTGTTGCACCTGCCTAGTTACGGCTCTGAGTCATAAGGATAACGCTAGAACTTTATCAATAAGCTTGATAAAAGGACTGGATAAATAATTTAATCAGCATTTTCTCATATAATTTTAAGATAATATTGTTATCATTATTATTTTGATTTCTTGAAGGTGTTATTCATCATTTTGAAGCACTGGTTTATCCAGATATCGTTAGGGGATATCGGGAAAAAGTTTGTGTGTGAATATTTTTTTTTTTGTAGATAGATATAAAAATAACATATAATATAAATATATATTTCAAAGAGAAAATATATTCTTATTTTATTATATTTATTTCTTTTATTTTTAATTTTTGATCAAGGGAAGACATAAGTTGTCTCTTCCGGAATGATTCTCTGATTTGAAGTCTAGATTTAAAATATAGACTATTGATAAAGGAAGAAGATGATGATAAATATTGAAAACTTTTTATTGGAGAAAATGTGATTAAATAAAGAAAACTTAAGAATTAAAATTTTTATTAATAGGGTTACTTCCAAGATCGTCAAGAAGAAGAAAAACTAGGGATTTTTCCTCGGGTCCAGAGAAAACTTAGGAGGCATAGTGGTTCCTACCTCTATAAATTAACCATATTTTTACTAATAAGAATAAAATCTTTAGGACTACTATTTAATAATAAAGAAACGTTGTACGTATTTTACTTGTTAAAAAAAAAAAGCAAAAGGGACAAACGGGACACTTGCCATCCTTTGGAATAGAGTAAAAACTTACAAATTATAATTGTAAAAGTGATTGAGATATGTAACCTTACACTCTCTACCATGACTGTATTTTCTAATCTACTTGTGAAAAAACCCAAAAAATTAAATAATTATATAAAAATTTATTTATGTAATTATTTATCTTCAAGTTCCACCTCCCTGGAAAATTTTCTGTGGACGCTCCTGTCTATTATATCCTGTTCTTAACAAGTAAATTTCTGTATTCAAAAAGATAATAAATACAGAGTACATTCGTAAAAAGTTAAAAATAAAATTAAGCGAGAAAACATCTAAAATTGATCCGTTATATCTATAAAAAGTTTTGCTTACCTGTTGTTAAAGGTGCCATTCGAACTTGTTCTGTTGTTTAATATATTAGATTGTATGTCGGAACTGGTTTCAATTCGTTTATTAATAAAATCATAAATGTCTTTTCGAATATTATCATTTGAGTCGATATCGTCGAGTGAAATGATCGATAGACCTTCAATAGAATCTCTCGAAGTAAGAATAATCTAAACGAACAAAACTATTAAAAAAAATAATAATAATAAATGTGAATTTAGAAAAAAAAAAAGATCAACTGATAACCTTTATCCATGAAGGTAATATTGAAATTATATTTAACAAAAAGGGCTTTAATTTTTTAATATGTTCATCTTCCGATTCATTCAGAGCATCGATTACCAGAATGCAATTTGATGGCATAATACTTCCGTTGCTAATTAATAACTTTATTGGTTCGAGAATTCCCTGAATGAAAGCTGTCTTAGGATCGGAAATGCACGATTCCATAGAGAGAATTTCGTGATATCTGAAGGAAAACAATATTAATAAGTGTAAAACATTAAACATTTTATATATAAAGTTAAAAAAATTTTTTATGAAAAAATACCTAAATTCGTTTAATAATAAATTTCTATAAGGAAGAAGAATAGGAGCTTGACATAATTGTGCTGCTAAATTATGAACAAATTCAGGAACTAAAGTAGTATATTTGTTGCCTTTTTGACAGAAGTGATATCCTACGATTTGTTTTGAAAGTTTTAGAAGGCAAGAAATATTAGCTACATCAATCGACTCTTCTAAAGAAAATATACATATTAAAAATGAATTTATAGCAATAACAGTTCACATATATAAATGTTCCTAATAGCTTAAAAGTAAAATCTTAATACATTAGTTTACCGTTCTTTCTTCCGAAGCAGCTATAATCTACCAACCGCAAAATAATAGAAGTTTTTCCACAGCCGGGTCTTCCTTGAATTAATACAACGTTTTCTTTTTGAAATATCTACGAGATTTTAAAAACTGTTAAAAGTGAAAAACATACTCAAATAGAAAATTAAGAATAATCGGTTCCATCATATTTAAAAACATTTACAGTAGCGTAATTAGAACTGATATTAGGGTGGTCCAAATTAGAACGTGCCAATGTACAGTACTTGTACATTCACCCTTGTATAGGGTTGCCATAAATTAAAAACCAAAATTAGAGACATTGTAAGTGATGTAGCATTGTGGTAAAAATTGATTGATACCCAGAATTAGATAAGCAGTAGCTACGGTGGAAAACAAGTGAATAATTCTGGTTAAACTAATTTTATTGACTTATTATGCTTTATTATTCGATGAACCAATCGTACTTGTTTGACTTACATTTTTAAATTAAGTTTTGGTTCTGGCCTAACCCATGATAAACGTGATTAAAAATGAAAGTCCTCTTAGTGTTCACGGTACGGAAATAATAAAAAATAAGGAAAAAAAAAGCCTGACTGTGGTCAGACGTAACCATTAATCCAATAACGATGACTGCATGAAATCATCGATGGCTTCAAAACCATTACAGTACTATACAGGTCCAAGAAAATATGATGAAAATGACAGGTAGCATATGCACTACATCTACTAATATAAACGGAATATTTTCGGGTAGAAATGGACAAATCGATTTGGAACATTCAAACAAATCCAAAAAAAATCAAGATGTATGTCAACTCTAGCGCTGTATCACGATAAATGTTGCCACTAGCGCTGTAGGGAAGAGTAAACTCATATATTGTATATACATAAATACTGTATTCCCTCGATTAAACCCAGAGAGTCAAATAAACCCCGCGGAATAAAGATGCTGTTAAAAATAAATCAGGTCTCAAATAAACACAGGGTTGAAAAAGCATGGAAAACATGTTGAAGTACGAGTACTGTACTGTATAAGGATTTAATTAATCTTGGGGAGCCGAATTGAACGGATAAAATTATTTTTAATGCGAATTCTCACTTTATATGACCACTTATTCATAAGTGGATAGAAATTGAGACATGACACAATATAAATGAAAAAATAAATTTTAATCAATTAGGAAGAGATTTTTGGAAAATTTTTTAGTGTTTCTTCCTTTTTCTTTGGGGTGCTAGAGCCATTGGTTTCTCTCTGGATGCACCACCAGTATAAGGTAACGTAGTTTAGAGTTAGAATTAGAAGTTTAACTAAAATTCTACCTCTTCATATTGTCTAGAGTCAAATAGTAGGCCTACTTTTTATTGTAAGTTTCATGAAAAGATTTTTTGAAATAAAATTATAAATACAGTATTGTCGAATATTGAGCATGAGAAAGTCGCGATCGAGTTCGCCAAAGAGATGATGACTTTAAACCAGAAGATGATAGTCAAGATCTTGATTGACAACAGACACGAATGACAACGTATTAACAGAAGTGGAAGAAGATTAACTACGCAAACACTAATTATTTCAAAAGTAGTTGTAACCCATAAATACAACCATTAAAATGGTTTCGATAGTTTCGAGTAATTAAGGTATTTCTTTCAATTTTTACCCATTCGTCTCCTGATGCAAGATGATAAATTCCGGTGGATACGTACGTTTTAAAAATAAATTCCTGGGATTTAATCGAAGAAATACGGAAAGTTTATCATATTCAATTTTTTTTCGTACTTATTTGATTTTTTCTTTACTTATTTACAAAGGTAAGGAGACCCGGATTCTCTGGGCTCTCCCTGGTTATGTTACTGAACATTTATATTAAATAGACCTACCTTTATAAAAATTAAACAACATCATAAAAAAGTATTTAATGTCTTAAAACAAGGACAATTTATAAATCCGAAATAAATATTAAGAAAGATATACAATTATTTTTATAAATATAATCGAATTTAATTTAACAAATCTATCCAAATAACATAAAGATCTAGCAAACATTTTGCTTGGCTGCGCCAAACATTTCAAGAAAAAAAAAAAAAAAAAA